AAGTTTATGAAGTTTCTGAAAATACGATCGACCATAGTGATCTTAATATCGTTAATAATAATAAAACATTTCATTTTTACCGTCACATTAAAAAAAAAAAGTTGAAGAGGCTTCAAAGAAAATCAAGAGTGGAAAGTCTGTAGGATCTGATGATATCCCAATTGAAGTATGAAAATGTTTAGGAGATTTGGGAGTTTCATAGCTTACTAAACTCTTTATTATTATTTTAAAAACTAAAAAGATGCCTGAGGAGTGGAGGAAGAGTATTTTGGTCCCCATTTTTAAGAATAAATGGGATGCACAAGAGCGTACAAATTATAGAGGAATTAAGTTGATGTGTTATACTTTAAAATTATGGGAGAGGATAATTGAACATCGATTAAGACGTATTACAAAGATTCTCATAATCAATTTGAATTTATGTCGGGCAGGTCTACTATGGAAGTTATACATTTATTGAGAAGTTTGATGGAGAAGTTCATATATAATAAGGAGAATCTACATTTAATTTTTATTGATTTATAAAAGGTTTACGATAAGGTCCCAAGAGATATCTTCGGAGAGTTTTAGAGAAGAAAGGTGTTGATATGACTTATATTCAAGTCATTAAAGATATGTATACTAGATTTGTTACTTGTGTTCAAAGACTAGACTGTTACTTTGTGTTCGAACTGATAGAAGATTGACCAATTATTTTCCTATTTCTGTTGAATTACATCAGGGATCGACTTTAAGCTCATATTTTTTTTGCTTTAGTTATAAGAGGATGTAGCTTGGTGTATGTTTTTTGTTGATGATATCCTTCTCGTGGATAAGATGAGAGAAGAAACCCGGGAAAAACTTAAATTATGGAGGTCTACATTGGAGTATAAAGGCCTTAATTTGAGTATAACTAAAACTGAATATATCGAATATAATTTTAGTAGTAGCAGCGAGGGCTGTAAACGAGCCGAGCTTGAGCTGGGCTCGTGTTCGGCTCGTTCGAAATAGCTCGTGTTCGAAATCGGCTCGTGTCGAAATTAGCTCGTGAACAGTATGTTCGTGTTCGGCTCGATTTAAATATTCGTGTTCGTGTTGGGCTCGAAATTGGCTCGGAAAAATTAAATTGAAAAAAATAGATGTAAAGTGTGGGATTCGAACCTAAACCAAATATATACAAAAGAATGCACTAACCACATTGCCACACAAGATGTTACGATTTGAATATAGACTTAAATATATATATAATATTACTATATTATATATATATAATTTCTTTATTTCGAGCTAAAATGAGTCAGACACGAGTGAAAAAAGAGTTGTTCGTGTTCGGCTTGTTTATAAATCGAGCTTAAAAATTTCTCTGTGCTCGACTCGTTTACTTAACGAACAAACTAACACGAGCTGTTTGCGAACAACGAGCTTTTTTGTCAGCCCTACTAGCAGCTCTAGTGACAGAAGTGTAACTTTGGGTGATCAATTTATTAAAAGATGTGAACGATTTAGATATCTCGGGTCAGTTGTTCAAAGTGATGGTGATATAAATGAAGATGTTAATAATATAACTCAAGTTGGTTGGTTGAAGTGGAGGAATGCTTGGGGCTCTTGTGTGATAGAAATGTACCGCTTAGACTGGAAGGAAAATTTTATAAGATGGTGGTAAGACCTGCAATGCTCTATGACACCGAATGTTGGCCTTTAAAAGAGAAGCATAAAACTAAGTTAAGTGTTGCCAAGATGAGAATGATTAGGTGGATGAGTGGCTTTACATTTAGAGACAAAATGCGAAATGAATATATCTACGATATGGTTGGTGTAGCTCCAATAATGGACAAAATTGGCATAAAACCATTTGATGACCCAATTATGATGACCCGATTAAAAGAGTAGATGTTTTAAATTCTACTTATGTTAAGAAAGGCAGGGGAAGACCTAAGATGACTTGGGATATTGTATTAAAAATGATCTTAATTTATTAGAATTAAATGAAAATTTGACACAAAAATAAGACACAATGGAGAAAGATGATTCATGAAGCCGACCCCACTTAGTAGAATAAAAGTTTTGTTGTTGGTGTTGTTGTATAAAAATTTATCTGTTAGATATATGAATATAAAAGAATTGCAAGGCAATGCATGTAAATAACCTTAATTTGCATAATTGTATGCAGTTTAAAATTACTTCAATTGTTTATTTTATTCTATTTATCATAATATACAATTTATAAAGTGACAGCCACAGTATTAAACTATTAATAATGATGGGGGCTGACAATTTCATAATAACGATTCAGACAATAATTTACTGAAAATAATTAAAGGATGCTTTGAGTGTTATATAAAAAACCTTTATTTTTTATATAAAATAATAAAAACAATTAAAATTAAAGAAACAACCATGAGAAATAAAAATAATGCAAAAAAAAAATTTCAGCTTTTTAATTGAAATTTACATTATTTAGAGAAAAAAATAAAAATAAAATAATAATAATAATAAAAAGAAAATTAAAAAAAAACTATAAAAATAAAAAAGATCAGTCAAAGAAAAATGAAATTTACATTATTTAGAGAAAAAATTAGCTTTTTATTTATGAGGTGGTAGATTCTGAATCGGTGTCACCAAAATGCTGTTTAATTGAAGGATTGCTAAGAAACTCAGTTCCATCTCTCGGAGAAGAAACAGTTGATGAAGAAGAAGATGACTCCATTGATGTGTTGGGCACAGAGGCTTGCGTGTGAGATGGGCTCTGAAAGCTCTGGGAGCTGAGAGGTTGCTGGTTCCCTGCTTGAGCAAGCCTTTTTAGGAGGTCTATTATTCTCGGTAGAAGCTTGGATGAGATTGATAAAAGACCTGAGAGCTGCATAATTCATTAAAATCAGGAGAGATGCAAATTATCAAAAATTAAGGGATCATTTATGGTTACTTTTGATTTTTTTTTTATTTTTATTCTATTTTTTTAATTATCTTTTACACAAATATGTTTATTGTTTTTGAAAAATGATTGAAGTGTCAAAATAGTCCGCGACTATTCACATGGAGCTGTTTTAGTGTTGGAGTCTATAAAAGGACCAAAATGGTTTGTTAAGGTTTAATTTTAAATAGTTACAAACTATTTTGACATTTCTATAGGCTTTGAGACTAAAATGCTGTCATGTAAATAGTTGGGTATTATTTTGGCACTTTACACTGAAATCAACTTTTAGATGTTTTGAGTGCTTACATAAACAAGTTAATTTATTTATGAGAATAAAAAATAAAAGGAAGATTTACATACATACCACTCATTTCTTGTGTATTTAAATATCTAAAACCTAAACTTTAAATTTTTACATATATATACGACCTTACGTATGCATGAAAAGTTGTATTTTACTTCTTTAAAGTTAAAATGAAAAGTTGAATTTTGCCTTTTTGAAGTTAAAATAATGGTATTTTTATGTTATAGGAAAAATTTTGGTGATATAATGTAAAAAAAGAAAGTTTAGAAGTTAGATATGTAAATACATAAAAAATAGGTGGTATGCATGTAAATGCCCATAAAACATGTAAAAAAATGCACTAAACAAACATACTTTAAGATAAAACAAAAACAAAAAGATAATATGAAAAATAATACCCAAACAAGCCATAAATAAATGAAAGGAGTATTCATTTATTTCAAGAATATATTCATTTCACATTTTGTCTCTAAGTGTAAAGCCACTCATCCACCTAAGCATTCTCATCTCTGTAAGTTTTATGTTTCTCTTTTAAAGGCCAACATTCTGTGTCGTAGAGCATTGCAGATATCGCCACCATCTTACAAATTTTTTCGTTCAGCCTAAGCGACGCTAGCTTTGCTCATGCTATGAAGGAACATAAAATAATTTGACTCAACATTTAATCTTATGAAAATAAAGCATACCAAATCATATAAAGAAATGAGAGCCTTTTAAGCTTAAGCAAAGCAAGGTATAACATCACTGATCAAATATTGTTAGTGGTTGCATGACCAATTTTCAGACCAAAGGATGAACAAAGGATAATGCTAAATAATGGATATTAATGCTGCAAATTAGTTGAGGATATAATTCAAATCACCCAAAGCATATATATGAAAGAAAATTGAATGCATACACACAATTTTTACATTATTCACTACTTTCCTAGAGATCATTTTGTTATCAATGTCTTCTTCATATAAGATCTTAGATAATAAATAAATCATGACTACAATAACAGGACAAAATATGAGACTTATTGTAAGTGTTTTATATTGTGAAAGCTATTGGCATTTATCTCTTGTAAGGATAATGATGACATTATAAATATGCTATGTCACTGAAAAAACCAAAATCTAATATTAGAAATTTCTTACATACCGTGCCATGCTGGAATTCTCCAGTAATGTCCAGTTGAATCCATATAGCCCTTGACACTAAAAAAGTAACAAAAATTGCAAACAGGTACAGAGGATTCCTGCATTTTAGCATCAGAGGCTCATTGTTAAACCACATATTAGGAAATCACATCTTGCAGTTGAAGCAAGAGAAGAAAAAAGATAATTTGAAAAAACCAAAATCTAATATTAGAAATTTCTTACATACCGTGCCATGCTGGAATTCTCCAGTAATGTCCAGTTGAATCCATATAGCCCTTGACACTAAAAAAGTAACAAAAATTGCAAGCAGGTACAGAGGATTCCTGCATTTTAGCACCAGATGCTCATTGTTAAACCACATATTAGGAAATTACATCTTGCAGTTGAAGCAAGAGAGAAAAAAAAAGAAGGGTTTTGTATTCTTTTTTTGTAAATTAGAAGTTTAAAATACTATGGGAAGGAAAATACCAACTTGAGCCAGTTTCAAACAAGATTGTATGCAGAGATTTTATATAACAATCACCTCAAAAGCATCATGAGCTCATTGAAACCTAGAACCGCAATGGCGACAATGGCCCACGGAGGAGGTAACAAAGCGTTGCTGCGCCTGTGAGCCTCCTAAGGAAGAAAAGGAAACAAGAAAAACTATAAAAAAGAGTGATAGATGCAATGAGGCAATTTCATACTTAAAATCCTACTTAAGAGAAGTGAATTGGATATCCAATTTACAATTAATTTTTGTATAACAATCACCTCAAAAGCATCATGAGCTCATTGAAACCTAGAACCGCAATGGCGACAATGGCCCACGGAGGAGGTAACAAAGCGTTGCTGCGCCTGTGAGCCTCCTACGGAAGAAAAGGAAACAAGAAAAACTATAAAAAAGAGTGATGGATGCAATAAGGCAATTTCATACTTAAAAGTCCTACTTAAGAGAAGTGAATTAGATATCCAATTTACAATTAATTTTTGGAATATTTACATATATACCACTTAATTCCGATGTATTTACCTAACACCTAAGCTTCAATTTTTACATATATGTCAACTTAACTATGCATGAAAATGTGCATCACTTTTAAAAAGTTAAAGTTGTGGTATTTTTATATGAAAAATTTGGCTGGTATTGTTGTAAATAGCCAAGTTTAGGCATTAGATATATAAATAGGTGAGAATTGGGGGGTATGTTATGTAAATGCCCCTTTTTTTTTTCATTATTTGAAAGTATAAAATGCCAGGTAATGTGTCAACAGATATCTCTCATTCTCACAGATGTGTTTGGAACTCCCAAATGTTTTGCATGATTTACAAATAATATGGATTATGATTGATAGATAAGTGTCCTAATAACAAGCTGAACTTAAAGGCTAATCCAATTGGCTTCGTGAATGTGTTTTACTTCAACGAAGAAATCATAGTAAATTTTAAAAACATCATTAAAGGTTCTTTAACCCAGTTCTGTGCAAACACATCACATCATTTAGCACAATCAAAATATTAATATTTATGGCTTGATTTTAAGGAATGATTCCATATAAAAATAGAATTAGATTTTACTGGAGACCAACAAAAAAACATTAACATTATATAGAATTATGAAAATTATGATTCATAAAAGGATAATGAAAATCATAACCTATAACATATAAATACCTGTACAGAAATTGCTTGCATGATGGTATGCTCAGTTTCTGTCCTGAATTGTTTCCACAAAGATTTACACTGAACTGGTGAGAAGAGAATATTTTCTGGAGGAACCTGTTGCTCAAATCCATTGATTCTATTTTTATACTCATTTTTTTGGAATTTTTTTCAGTTAGAAAATTGAGGTCATATAACATACTTCTTCCCATGTGCTTGAAGCAAGTGGATCAGTCAACGCTTCCATTCCTTGTTTTTCGGAAGCTGGAGCTTCTCCAAGAGCTGAATTTAGAATGCTTTCAATTTTATCTGGTTTCTGATCCAAGCGGATCACAGCAAAGACAGATAGAAGTTTCAAAGCCTGCATTATGCTCAAAAAATAATCAATTAGCATTACAGCAGATGCATCTGTAATCTAATCAATTAGCATTATGCTCAAAGACAAAAGTTTCAAAGCCAGCATTATGCTAAAAAAATAATCAATTAACATGCATGCTAGTAAGATAAAGTAGATACATATGTAATCTAATCATCCATGCAAAAATAACATATTAGAAAAAGGAAGATTTACATACATACCACTCAATTCTTATGTATTTACATATCATACACCTAAACTTTAATTTTTACATAATCGCCACCTTCCTTGTGCATGAAATGGTGTATTCCGCTTTTTAAAAGTTAAAATGGTGGATTTTTTATGTAATATGAAAGTTTGGGTGCTATAAATGCCAAAATTAAAGTATAGGTGTTAGGCATGTAAATACATGAGCTTTAGATGGTATGTATGTAAATGCCCCTAAATTAAAAAAAAGAGGAGTCAAAATAGTATTGTACAACAAAAATGCTCTTGACTGAACCTTCGTGGATCCGAAGGTTTGGAATAAGGCACATGTCAAAAGATGAATCTCAAGCAATGCAGAGGTGTCCAAAGCAAGGATAATTGAACAATAGAGGTTGCTCGATCAGAGGCCAATCAAGCGTGCACCCGATCAGAGGTCGATCGAACAGGCGACCGATAAAGCAGGTCATCGATTAGTGACCGACTGAGCGGACAACTGATCAAAAGCCGGTCAATTAAGGCCAACCAACAAGAAGATGACCCACCAGAGACCAATCAATTGGGAGTTGACCGGGCTAAAAAACAATTGATCAAAAGTCAGCTGACCAAAGAAAATCAAGGGTATTAGTGTCATCTCACAATAATTCTGGTCCCTAAATATAAATGGAGCATTAAATGACATTAAATATGGGGGGGGGCTGCTTTTTTGGGAGGATGAGAGGATGGGAGAACTCTTGGAATCTCTTTCTCTCTCTCCTTTTAACTCTTTATTCCTCGAGTGTGATTCACGGACAAATCTATATTTTACATTTTAAAGATATAACTAAATTTTACAAATCTTGCTGGACTTTCACTTCCAATTCCAAAGATTTTTCAAAATGAAAAAATATTAAGGTTTTAAATATGTAAATACATAGTAATAAATAGTATGCCTGTAAAAATTTAAAGTGAAACAGTAAATAAATTTTTTTTTGAATGGCAAGCGTCTAAATATGAAGTTCAGGTGATTGAATGGTATATATATGTATTTAGATATAAAGATTGTGTTAAATATGTTGACACGTAAGAATTGAATGTTAGGAATGTAGATATGAAAATTAGGTGTTAAATATGTGAATGCGTGAGAATTGAATAGTATGTTTGTAGATATTTAAAGTTTACATTTCAGACATATAAATTTATAAGAATTGCATGCTAACATTTTTCTTATGTGCATAGCATGATAGACTTTAAGACGGCTATAAATCCTACAGAAATTGTTGTTTTACATGAAATTTGGTATATAATTTTTTTTCGGGCCAAGTTACACATGGGCGAGCCAGGTTTGGCTACTTCAGGCCGGGCCGGGCTCTCCAAATTTTTATTTTTTTACAGTCAAGCCCGCCCATGGTCCGCAGACTTATGGCAAGCCCTGGCCACACACACAATGCCTAGGTCTAATGACAGGTAATGACTCTCCATCCACAGGAAACACCCGCATCAAATGGAAGAAGAATGCCTCCGACCCCAAAGGGGGAGAACGACACTATCCCGACAACACAGGATCAAAATCAGTCGACCATAACAGATACGAGCGAGCTGAAGCGAGATAACCACACACCCTGAGAACACTTTCTCCAGAGCAATGTAACTAGCATCCTCCAAAGAGAAGCACCCAATAAGGAGGTTGAAGACCAAGCACAATCCTTGCCTGCTGACCTCGGATCGTTTTGAACACTCGCACTTGTCTTCAGACAATCGGGCAACAGATAGGAGAATTCACCCACGGGAAGACCAAGTCCAATACCCTGAACGACGACCAGACTATTCATCGCCAGCAAGCAAGACGTCCGTGAAGGGCATACAAGTTGCAACAACAACAACAAGCCTTTATCCCACTAAGTGGGGTTAGCTACATGAATCCTTTTTCTCCATTGCTTCCTATTAAGTTTCATATTTTTATTTAATTTTAATAAATTAAGATCATTTTTTTATATAATATGCCCAACTCTTTCTAGGTCTACCTCTTCCTTTCTTAACATAAGCTGAATCTAAAGCATCTACTCTCCTAATCGGATCATCAGATGGTCGGCGTTTAATGTGACCAAACTATCTAAGACGACTCTCTCTAATTTTGTCAGCCATTGGAGCTACATCAACCATATCATGAATATATTCATTTCACATTTTGTCTCTAAGTGTAAAGCCACTCATCCACCTAAGCATTCTCATTTCGATAAGTTTTATGTTTCTCTTTTAAAGGCCAGCATTCTGTGCCATAGAACATTGCATATCTCACCACCATCTTACAAATTTTTCCGTTCAGCCTACACTTCAGCAAACCAACTTGAATTCTACTAATAACATTCCCGTCTATATCATCGTCACTTTGAACAATAGAGCCGAAGCATTCCTTCACTTCAACAAACCAACTTGAATTCTACTAACAACATCCCCGTCTATATCACCGTCACTTTGAACAATAGACCCGAGATATCTAAAGCATTCATACATTTTAATAATTTGATCACCCATAGTTACAACTCTATCACTAGAGCTACTATTACTGAAATTACATTTCATGTATTCACTCAAATGAAAGCCTTTAGACTCCAAAATAGACCTTCATAATTCAAATATTTCCTAAGCTCTTTCTCTAGTAATATCACAAGAAGGATATCATCAACGAAAAGCATGCACCAAGGTACATCCTCCTGAAAATGTCTAATAAGAACATTCATAACTAAAGCAAAAGGATATGGGCTTAAAGCCTCCCAGTTGTAATCCAATTGAAATATGAAAATATTTGGTCAATCCTCCTTCACTTCAAACACAAGTAACAACTCCAGTATACATATCTTTAATAACTTGAATATAATTCATATCAATACCTTTCTTTTCTAGAACTCTCCAAAAGATATCTCTTGGAGCCTTATCGTAAGCTTTCTAAAACAATAAAAATCATATATAAAAATCATATGTTAAATCATATGTTGATCCTCCTTATTCTCTCTATACTTCTCCATCAAACTTCTCAATAAATGTATAGCTTTCATAGTAGACCCTCTTGGCATAAATCCAAAGTGATTATGAGAAACCTTTATAAAATTTCTTAAACCTATGTATAATTATCTCACCAATAATTTTGAAGTATGACACATCAACTTAATTCCTCTATAATTTGCACTCTTATGCAAATAATATGAAAGAGTTTAGTAGGCCAAGAAATTTCCAAATCTCCTAAATATTTACTCACTTTAATTAGGATATTATCAGATCCCACAAACTTCTCACCATCGGTTTTCCATAAAATCTCATCAACTTCTTTTTTACTAGTATGGCGGTAAAAATGAAACATTTTATTATTATTAAAGATATTAAAATCATTAAGATCGATCATATTTTTAGAAACTTCATTCAAACTTTTATCAAAATAACTTACTCGCCTATGTTGACTATATTTTTCTAAGAAAAACATTTTTTAGTTTTTATCTTTAATACACTTTACTTTTTTCTTTTTTCTTTGTTTGGCAAGTTTATACATATATTTTTCTCTTTTTAGTATTTAATATATTATAAAAATCACTAAAAATAAAATTTTTAGTGTCACATATTGTTGTTTTAGACTCCCTACGGGTCATTTTATATTTTTTCCAAATCTCTAAGGACATACAAGTTGCCAACTTAAAAAATTATAAAAAAGTTATAAACTCTTGCTCGGACCAAGCTAGCGAATGCGACCAATAAACTCAAATAACTTACTCGATAGGAACCGATCATCTCATTTGTCAGAAAGCGCCTGATCATGAGACTCAGGGAACTTCTCGAAGGGAATTGGCTGTCGTACATTTGTAAATAACAGTAAGAATTTGAAACCAAGACATAACGTACGAAAGGTAAACAATTCTTATTTATTGAATACAAAAAGTTATTCCGTCGTTTTTACATAACGACCATGATTGGTTCCAAGTAATCACTCACTCATCCACTCATTCACTCGCTTGACCGCTTGTTCGAGTCGGAAAGACTTGCCACCCCTGGTTCCCTAAGAAACTTGATGAATCACACCAAGCACCAGGCAAACACGCCCAGTCAGCTCCGACTGGGCACAGTCTGATACGCTAAAAAGGAGTAGCAGATTCTCCCTAAAAAATGAGCGGACTTAAAAAATCAGACATACCTCTTGTCTGCTCAAACTCAAGAAAGGATTGACCTTTAGAGTCAGCACACAAAAAATTCACTCTTTCGGAGTTCAACAAACAAGAAGTTGAAGCCAAATGGCGGCAAGTACGGGCCATCTGACTTGCCCTCGCCGTCATCCTTGACCTCTTGACTTGGTGATCGCCGAAACCCTATGAGAGCAATTTTGATGTCCATTTCAGTTTTAGTACAAGTTTGGAAGGGGATCTTCTGAATTTATAGACAACCAGAGAAGAAGGTTGGATGGGTGCATTTAATGCGACCCTTCAAAGCCCCGATGATTTAATAGCTTGTCATTCCCAAGTTTTAAAATCCACGCCTACCATGCTCCCCCTTAGTTGTCATTCAGAACCCCTATATTCGCAGTGGGAGGGCATGCTACATACTCGAGGAACTAGGCTTGAGAATAATATCCACACTTGACCTACTGACAAAGACTATTGACGACTTAATTTTGAGATGAACACGTCCATGATTATTCAACCATCTCTCGATCACCATTATTCATTTGGTCGACTTTCAATTATAATTAATTGCTCGGTCATCCCTCGTTAATCAACACTACCTATTCTCCTTGCAACAACCAAGCATCGTAAAGTCCCACTGCCTTTTTTCCTTCA